TTTTTTTTTAAATTGTCAAGACGCTTTCCTTTTAATATATTTTTGTAAAAATTAATCTTATCCAATCTTTTAATTGCTTTTCTTCTGGTTTAGGCAGCTAAGGAGACAGAAGGAAATAAAGAAAAGCCTACCAGTCTATTTTTTGTACATTTTTCTATGTCTAGCAGTTTTACTTAGATATCTGTCATATTATTTGGAATGTGAAAAATATTATTTGAGGATTGTGAATATTTTTTCCTTTACTTACACTTTTGTCTCATTATTATCCCTGTTTCTTTTCAGTTTGCATTTATTGGTGACCTTGTTTATTCCTTTAGACTGAAAACAAAGGGCCTTACTGTCTCTTTTACAGAATCTTTTTTCCTATCAGTTTGGTTTATGCTTTCTTATCTGTATGTTGCCTTAATGTTTCCTTTTTATTCAGTGTTGCCTGAATGGACCATACCTACCCTCTCCAACTCCCCAAATACATGTTATATATTTTTTTCCATTATGGGTTAGAAGATTTACACCAGAAGTTTCCAAGCTCATATACCTTACTCTTGTAGGAGGAGAATATTTGCCATGGAGATATTTTTTTGAATGGTATTTCTTAAAAAATTATCCCTTGGATGGTGGTTTTCAAACTTCATTTTTATTGATCCAGTCATGTTTTGCTGATGTCAGGTTGGTCCTTTCATCAACTACTGCATAAACCACCAATTGTGTCCAGGGAGAATGCCCAGGATTAATTTCTTTTGTAGGAAGAACAGTTTGAACTATTTTAGTCCTTTAAAATTCAAAGTTTTTGCCTTACTCTGTATGTATCCCACTGAAAGTTCTTTCTAATGGTCTAGGTATCGATTCTTTGTATAGGGTCTTTTTTATCAAAAATAAAATGGGACCAACTTGTTCAGTGGCTTCTTCTAACTTGATTTTAGCTGATATGTTTGGGGAAAATCTCTGGGCTCCTGCAAAGATTATACAATACATTCTTTGAATACTTGATGTTAAAAAAAAAAAAAGTGGCATGCAAGCTGGGAGGGAACTTTTGTGGTATCTTATTGTTCCTATGAAGTAATGTTGTTTCGTGCTATACAATTTATGGTCTTGATATTGCTTTCTTTTATTTAGTTTTGTTGTTTTCTTCTGTTGCTGATTTAGAATTGGAGTAAAGCACCCTTAGTTTTCATCTGCAAGCCACCTAACATAATTATTACCTCAAAGTTCTTTCAAGTAAGTCCTGGACAATCCGAAATCTCTAAGCCCACATCTCCCATCCTTTTTCTTGGTTATAGATTGAGAGTGGTCTTGGTGTTATATTAGTATATAATTTGTATCTGTTTCATGCAAACAATTAACTTTGAAATGAAAAATAGACATCAGAGCAGAGGTTTATTTGGTTCCCATTGACTCTGCTAATTTTATGCTTGCTACATTTTAAGAACAAAACTTTTGCCATCTCTTTCTATAATCTTTTTTGGGGGCTGTTTTCCTCAAGTTTTAGACTATAACTCAAATTATGTATTCTTTCTGCTGATTGCTTCTGTACCTCTTTTACCTCCTATATGTTCTTTTGTAGAGTATGCACACAGCGGGAGGAAAACCTGAACTTGACTCATGAAGTGCTGGGCATTCAAAGCAGTGATTCCTTGCAAAGGATCTTGGGACTAGACCACTGTGAATTGGCTCTTTCAATTTGTCCACTTAAAGGGCATAATAGATTGCGCAGCTGTTTGGGCTTTAGCAGGGTATTGCTACATATTCATGTCAGGTTGCAATTATGTGAATTTTCAGTTTGTTACAAAGACTTCTCTTTGTATTCAAAACAATTTTGTTGATTTTGTGTTTTAATATGTGAGTTTTCTTTCTGAAAAAAAATGGTTACAAGATTTTGAATTTTGAGACTAAATCTAAATTAAAATTATTAAATATATAAACATTAAAAGCATGCTTTAAGAAGCCATGTTAATTTGCTTTAATTTTCCATTTTTATGAATAACAGAACTTTTTTTTTAAAGATGCAGATGGACACAATACTTGTATTTTATTTATTTTTATGTGGTGCTAAGGGTCGAACCCAGTGCCTCACACGTGCTCTACCACTGAGCCACAACCCTAGTCTGAGTCAGAATTTTTGATAGAGGTGAAAATTATACTTAACACATTAAATACTTTTGACCTAATCAGAAAACAATTAATGTCAGAGTGATGCTTGATTGGGTCAGGCTACTAAATCATAGCACTTCTAATGAAAACATAAATTTATATCATGAAATGTAGCAAACTAAGTCATGTATAAAGTAACAGCAAATCTTTTTTGTTTAAAAACCAAAGTACCTGTATGGTATCTCTTTAGAATCTCTGTAGTAAAAATACCATTTACTGTAGCTTATTGAGTAGTTTAAAAGGAATATGTCTTTCAGCTGCACTTCAGGATATCCATGACACCTTGAAGTGGGTACACAGTAGTTTCCATCCTTCTTTTAAAAAAACAACCATGAATGTGAAAATACTTTGTGTACAACCAGTGACTTGAAAAATTGCGCTCTATATGTGTAATATGAAATAAATTGCATTCTGCCATCATGTATAACAAATTAAAATAAATAAGTAATTTAATAAAAACAACCATTAAGGAGGCTGGGGATGTGTCTCAAGCAGTAGCGTGCTCGCCTGGCATGGGTGCAGCCCGGGTTCGATCCTCAGCACCACATACAAACAAAGATGTTGTATCTGCTGAAAACTAAAAATAAATAAATAAATAAATATTAAAATTCCCCTCCCTCTTTCCCCCTCTCCCCCCCCCAAAAAAAAAGAAAAAAAAAAACAACCATTAAGCCTGGCATAGTGGCGCATGTCTATAATCTCAGTGACTGGGGAAACTGAGGCTGGAGGATCACAAGGTCAAAGCCAGCCTCAGCAACTTAATGAGACCCTGTCTGAAAACAAAAAAGGGCTGGGGATATGGCTCCATAGTTAATTACCCCTACTACATTCAATCCCCAGTTCCAAAAAAAGAAAAAGAAAAACCTTCCTAAACTTTATACCTGGGCCTGAGGGTATAGCTTGGGTAGAGCATTTACCTAGTATGTACCCTGGGTTTAATCCCCAGCACTGCAGAAATAAATAAATAAATAAATAGATAGATAGATAGATAGATAGATAGATAAATAGATAAAATACCTGAACTTGTCATTAGAACAAATTGTCTTTTCCTTTTAGAACTCCATTTGTAAGCATTAACCTTGGCAAAACATACAGTGTCACTTTGTTAAATGTATTAATATAGAAATAATATTTCTGCCTAGTTTTTCTTTCAGTCTTAGATGGAAATTATCAATCTTTGATGTTGTTGAAAATTGTGTTATATTTATTGAGAGCTTGTCAGTGAATTTGATCACTTAGAAATGAATGTTTTGCATTCAGTATTTTAATGCATATTTTCACTCAAATTATCATCTTTAAGTCTTAGAGAACATACTAATACTCTTAGCAAAATTTTATAATGGGTTTTTGTATCCATTTTAAAATTTTCAGACAAAATGTGAATTCTATTAATAAGAATCTGCCTTTTAAAACAACGCAGTCATCTTCATGGCTGTGTAAAAATAAATGATTTAGGTTAAAACTTTTATCACTAAACTTCATGTCAAAGGCTCTTCTGTGGGATTTTTCATTGATGTTATTTAGTTTATTTTTCACCCAGACAAAAGAGAAAGCAAATAGTATATGATGAGAAAACTGAAACATTACTTACTGTTTCTTTAAGAAACCAGCTTATCCAGGGGGTTTTAGTGTGTTTAACCTAACCTGCTAGCAAGGAAAAGTTCTTTAAAATAATGGATATTAGCCGTATCCAATCACAATTATCAGTTTCACTAACAGGGAGGAGATTTTAGTCTTCGGCCACTAGAATTGGAGAAGGTGGAGCTTGGTATTCAGGTTTGGTTGCTTTGGAGTACAGCTTCAAGTGAAGTTAATCTGAGGTGAAGCAAACAGAAAATTGTGGAGGTTTTGTTGGTAGGATTTTTGTTCTAATCTCTTAATAATCCTATATTTTGTACTTTTGCTCCTTTATGCTTCTGTGTATGCTAGGTGTTGTTATTTCTATTTTCTGATGCAAACTGAACATTAAAATTAAGCAGGGAAGCAGAACAAAAGGGCTGTTTGGACAGGAAATAGGTGTTCAGAGAATCAAACTTGACTTTCTTTTATCATTATTTTTAGTTCAGAATTAGAGTGACATAAAAAAAAGTCTTTGAATCAAAATCATCTCCAATAACAGGCTTTTCTTTTTGATTGGATGTTGGAGCAATCAATTTTCAGTTTTTATGAGTGACATCTTATAAAGGTCTATTTGGTGTCATTTTCCTTAAACCTAAGATGTTAAGTTGCTAAAAGACAGATAAGTGTGGCAGGTTTAAACTTGTTTTTAAAGGATTGAATTGCCAGCTGTTTAATTTTCTTTTTTTACCCCTAGAATATCCTCCTCCTTTTTAACTCCAGTGTATTTTAAATTTAGCAATATGCTGACATTTTTAATATGTTTACAATTTTAGCTTTGGTTTTAAAAAGGTCATTGATATATTTTTATATAGAACAAAGTAAAACTGCTTTCTTCTCCAAATTCTTCATTTCTTTCAAAGGGGGAGATAAGTAATTAACACCCTTTTGAAACAGGAAGTGGATGGATTTGTATTTTAAAAAAACTATAGGTAAGCTACCAAAACTTGAAAAAGAAAGTATCTACAGATCTGTTGACATTTCTTATTTATGAAATAATTGTGTATTTCAGTACTATATTTTTTTCTTGGGAAAAACATATGTTGCCCTTTGCTCTCATAGATAAAGATATGAAAGTTCATTTCAATTATCAGTTCAAACGCCAACTGAGCATTTTCAGCCAGTGTCTTTGTATTTACTGTGCTGTTCATTCCTAAGTCAGACAGACAGAGGTTTTTAAATTAATGCTTTTCTACTATCTCTGTTGCTTAAACAATAATAATAAACAAGTCACCCATATACCCACAGTATCATTATGTGGTGGCCTTATTTTCTCCATCTTTATGGCTTTTCCCCCAATAAATGTGAATAAGTACAGTGTTGTATATTTTTTCACTAAGCTGTATCCTCTCTTATTAAAATTGTTTTAATTCCAGTAGATATGCAATGAAAGTTGATTTGACCTTAACCTAGTCTTTTGCCTGTTCTATTTTGGAGTTGTTCCTAATTTTTCATAATTTTAAATGGAATTACATTGAATACATTTCAGTAGATGTCTTTAAAATATTTCCCCTTTTAAAAAGATTTATTTCTTTTGGAACAAACCCCTAGAGTGTCCTTATCTAGATCAAAGGAAATGAACAATTCACTGGCCAGATTGCTTTTCAAAAAGGTTATACCAATTTATATTACCATACTTCATATTTTCTCTAATGGGTCGCCCCTTAAATTTTTTATTATCCTTTGCCTCTGGAGCTCTCTGAGTTATTCATTTAGTTTTTCCTTAAACAAATAACCTATTTAAAATTTCATTTTCCAAGATAAAAATGGATCTAAATCCATTTTCTGGATATTAAAATTAGCTGAAGGAAATTGGGGAAATTTTTACCCACTTAAGTGAACAATTATATATCTTTGTTGGGTATTTTATTTATTACATGTTATTGCTATTAACAAGTATAGGGCTTAATATTTTATCCTGGCTTTGTCATTAATGCCAGCACTCCTTAGTGTGTGCTGCTTCTGGTAAGGACACAACAGAAGAAATATTTCCTTCTAAGAAAATATATCAGAAACATTTTTAGAGAAGGAGCTGTATCCAAACATATATGAATAGCCATTAACATTACCTGTATCCAAACATATATGAATAGCCATTGTCACTGTGCATTTCTGAATTTGGGGTTTTTAAAAATACACTTTAGAAACAGAATTTGTATGCATAGTTCTCAGTATTAAATGGTATAATAGCACCTTTACAGTATTTCATAGGTTTTCAGTTAAAGGTAAAAAGATACCTGTACACAAAGTGGTGCTAGTCATGTTATTTCTGTTTCTCTGAGAGCATTCTTTGTTTAGCATTAACTGCTGATTATGTATCTCTTACTAACTATTCTGCTAAATGGAATAGGCCTTAACTGTTTAGCTTATGAACTAGCTAACAAATTTTACAGAATAAACTTAAACTTAAAGCAAAATTTGAGACAAAAATACTAATTTAATTAATGGGACAATAAAAAGCCATGGGCTAAGCTGCAACTCATTGGTGCGAGCTATAGTTGAATGTGTGTTATCTTAAATGGTCTAGTCATTTTCCAGTTTAAATAATTTAAACTTATTTTCTGTAAATTTATTTATTTTTATTTTTTTAAAAAATATTTATTCCTAAGTTTTAGGTAGACACAATATCTTTATTTTACATTTATGTGGTGCTGAGGTTCGAACCCAGTGCCTCTAGCATGCTAGACGAGCGCTCTACCATTGAACCACAATCCCAGCCCATCTGTAAATTTATTTTATTTATTTATTTATTTATTTTTATTTTTTTAAAATTTTTTTTTATTGTTGGTTGTTCAAAACATTACATAGTTCTTGATATATCATATTTCACATTTTGATTCAAGTGGGTTATGAACTCCCATTTTGTAAATTTATTTTAATTAACTGATAATTTAGTATCTCTAACTTTTGTAGGTAATGTTGATATGTTTTTCACTGTTTGTTTTTAGTGGGAAACAATTTTTTTTAAGTCTGTTTTGTTTGTTATGATTGAAGAATGATTTTTCCAGATACTTTGGTTTTTTTAACATTTGGAATAGAAGAGAAATTTTAATTAAATTAAAATTAATTAAAAATTTCCTTATTTACATCACAAATATTTTCTTTATTCTGAATTTGAGAAAATGTAATCTATTTTCTTTTTATCAAATCATTGCTACCAGGTAGAGATGAAGGTATGTAAATATAATTTAAAATCATGTCAAATATGACTGTTGATTACATTTTAAGGGATAACCAAGTAAAGATTTACCTACTCTTTTACTCTGGAAAACACTAGAATTTTGAGAAATTATGATCTTTAATGGATTCTCTACTGTAACTCTACTATATTGGCTTGGTTGACAGAAGTAGGGAGAATCCTCTTAGTTCATTGCTTTCAGTGGGAAGACTAAAAATGAGCTTTCTACCTGGAAAAGAGTACTGTTAAATTGACATAGATGTTGGGGCAAGATATGAATAGTGATAGCTCTGTTTTATCCTTCAGAAAGGAGGGAAAAAAAATGACAGAGGAGATATGGAGTGCAGTCAGAGTATCCATTTTTAGACTATTCAGGAGAATGTAGTGATACTTTCCCTCTTAATAATATAAGGAAAATTCTTAATAAGCAGTAAGTTGAGAAAACTTGAAAGAACCTAGAGCCAGTGGCTTAGCATTTATAAAGTCTCTTTGTTCTCTGTAATAGCGGAACTGCACAGTTACGAAATGCTTTTCCTGTCTACCTTCTTTATGAAAGTAGGTAAATGTTCGAAGAGGTGACTTTTGTTGATAATGTAAGAGGTGCTTATTTATGAACTGATGTCTGTGAGCCTGTTTGAATGAATTTGGATTTCTGTGTTTGGGTGTTATTGGAAATAATGAACTTAAAACAATTTTGTGGTTAGCAGTGGTTGGGTAGAAGAAAGCAGATCCATCTATCTCTTCATACATTTAAAAAATTTTTTTAATTTTTTTTTTAGTTATATATGACAGTAATATTTATTTATCATACATACATGGAGTATACCTTCGTATTTTTGTTGTTGTACATCATGTGGAGTTACATTGATCGTGTATTCATATATAAATATAGGAAAGTTATACCCGATTCATTCTACTGTCTTTCCCATTCCCATCCCTTCTCCCTTCCCTCTTCATACATTTTTTTCTTTCTTCCTTAAGCCCATAGGTCCCTTCTCCGTTATATTTTTCTGAGCCCTATACTTGATTTCTCAGTAACATTTAGTGCTCTTGACAGCTTTTTCCTTTTTGAAACTTTTCCCATGAGTTTCATGACATTGCTGTGCTTCTTCCTGTTTATGATTCTTGTGTCCTTTGCAAATGTTTCCTCTTTTCAACTATTAAATAATGGAATTAATAGAATTTTTAACACTGCTTACTCTTTACTTTTCTTGGTAATCTCCAGTCCCATATCTTTAATTAAAATCCCATGTATGGTAATGGTTTCAAGATCTGAATCTGAGACCCATGTTCATCAAACTCACTAAATGTACCATCCAAGTAAGAACCTGGGTGTCATTCTAATTATTTCTTCTTCTTCGCCCCCAATGAGCAATTTTTTTTCTTTTTTAAAGATGGGCATCTGCTATGTTGTCTAGGCTGGCCTCAACTCCCAATCTTCCTGTCTAAGCCTCCCAAGTAGCTGGGATTGCAGGTATGTGCTACCCCGCCCTGCTTTCCTAACATTTATAACTCCAGTATCTCTAGCATTAGTCCACTTCTTCTTTTTACCCATTAGTGCAGCCACATTATGATTTCTCAATTAGATTATCAAAACAGACACCTAACTGATCATTGCTTCCCATTTTGACTCTGTATAATACATTATTTACTGTATAGTCATGCCTGGTTTTTCTCTGCTCATAATTCATTAATGATCATTTGTTGCCCTTTGAACTTTAACTTAACTGCCTTGGGTGCATAATGACACCAGCTAGTTCTGGGCTAAATATTCTCTCAGGTAGTCCCAAAGTAACCTTAAGTGCTGTTTTGTTGGTAAGTTAACAATGAGACAATTTAAAAAGGCTAACTGATTTGTCCAAAGTTGCCTTTGCTCCTAAGTAGCAAACCTACTTTGAACTGAGGTTTGACAAAATCCCCTTCCCATAAGGTACTGAGCTATGTATCTTTCTTAGCTGAATTCTGCTTTTTTTCCTCATACCATTCTACTTCATCCTTTACCCAGCAATTGACAGTTTTTCCTTCCAGAGTGTGCTCAAAATTTGCTAAGTCTAAAAAT